TGTGTGTGTGTGTGTGTGTTGCACAATCCTTAGAGCATTGGGGCTGTGAAAGGGTCTGAGGATTTAACATGGGTCCAGGTGATGGCACTGGTGAAGCAAGGGAACTTCACTTTGAGCATCAAACCTCCTAGTCACTCTGCTCACCTTTTTAGAACATAAGAATCACGTGCAGTTTATAAAACCATCCTGAAATTGGGGCTCCTCCAGGGAAATACTAATTGTTTGCACTGGGTCTCTGTGTAGCTATTGGCACCCAGGAATGAGAATCTCTGTTCCAGAAATAGGAGAAATGTTACCATAGGTTTCTTGTGTTTCCAGATATGTGGCACAGATTCCTGGCAACTTCTTAGAGCACTTACCTATAGCTCCATTCCCACTCTGGGTGCTCATGAACTGGATCCCTCACCTTAAACCTTCTGGCTGTTATGTTCTCAGCACAGGATAGAATGTTTAATAAGCACCAGGAAGTCCCAGTGTTTAAATACCAGGCTGTGGCATCTACTGTGCTGGAGTAGTCCATGACACAGCCTTATTTATGTGATCCTTGTTGCCTGTGTTCATGGCGTTCCTTTTTCCTGGGGCCATGCCCTACAACAGGCTGAACTTTGAAACAGAGATGCTTGAAATGGAACACAAGCAGGTGATGTCAGCTCTCCAGAAAATACCATTGGAGATGAGTGAAGCCTTGGACAAGTGCAAGGGGCTGATGGAGGAGACTGAATACTTTAGGTAAGTGCCCAATAGCTTGGGAGGGACTGATTCTGCACTTCTTTGTCCTTGACTCAAAGTGAGGGCTCTGGTTCTAGCCTGTGTGCCTCTGAGACAATAGCCTGCCTTGTGGCCCTTCAGTTTTTGCCTCTTGGACTCAATTTTGCTAAGTGTGAACAAACACTGAGGCCATCCTATTATTGTCCTGCCCAACTCAGGAGACCTAAGACAGAAAAAATGGTTTGCACCATGAAGGGAATTTCTGGCAGCCCAGATTCTCTGGGCACTGGCAGGGTCTTCACAGATCTGGTTTGGCTAGGATCTGTAGAGAGAAGTTATTCCTATTGGAACTTCTGCCCTCATTCAGAGTGTGTTTTGCCTCTACCTGCTGATACTTTCCCAAATCAGGAACAGTTAAGCACAGGTGTGGACTGCACCCTGTTCTCAGAGGGACAAGATTCCTTTTGGTACCTGCATTTTCAGAAGTTGTTTGAATTTGTCTGCAATTTGGCTATTCTCTGGATTTAGCCTGCATTTAAGTGATGCTGGCTGGTCTACTGAGAGCTCCATTCTTGTTCTGTTGACCTCAGACTTTTCATGGTTCGTGGTAATTTGAGGTAGGATGGCAAATGGAAACTCACTGTGGCTCACCATGTTTTGGTGATTGTTTAGTTACCTCAATGGCCAGATCCTACCAGAGTGTAATCAGCTAAGGAACAA